CACATTGAGCTTAGGATACCCCTTAGTTTAAGGCCAATCTTAATTAGTAGTAGTTCAATTTTATTATTCACTGAATTTTTCTTAACTTTGGTACACTGAGTTTTAATTTGATACCGTTCTCTGTCTCTGATGTTTTTTTTTTGGTTCTTTTTCCATGTCGACAAGCATAAGCTGAACGTGCTTAGATTTTCTTTGGCTTTATTATTGACAGAGAATACTAAATGGAGTCCACCCATTTCAAGAAATAATTGTAAATTACTTTATCCGTCTTATTTTATGTGATGCATTTTGACAGGCACAAATTTATTAAAAAAATATTTTATAAAAATTATAGTTTAAAATAAATCATAAATATTTATGTTATTATAAATTATCTCATTAAATGTAAAATGAGAAGTTTAAATTAGACATAGAGATTAATACTTTAGGAATAAGTCCACAAATTTTCTACAATTAAGTTCATAAAATTTGAAAAATACCATCAAAACAGCGACTGCTCGTGCAGCTTGGGACAAACTTGTTGCTGCATATTTTTCAAGATCAAAGCCACTAATTCGTGACCTCAAGATGCAGTTGCACACTTTGCATTGGGATAATGCTAATATTGAATCGTATGTGCAAAAGTCAAAGGGAATAGCAGATAAGTTGGCTACACTACATCCAGTTCCCAATGATGATTTGGTGGAATTTATTCTTGTTGGACTAGGACCTGCCTATGGTCGATATTAGTTTTGATGCATTGTATGGATTGTTGTTGAATGAATAACGACAGTTAAAAAAGGATGAATCACATACTGTCATTGCACCTACAACACAGTTTACTCAGAATTCCTTTTCTACCACTCGTGGACATGGTAGATGTCACGATCCAAATCTGCGTGACCGTCACCCGGCACATTACCCGATCCGAGTGAACCAATCCATATGTTAAGATCAAGTATAATTGCGGAAGCCAATTGAAAATCTTATACATTTTCAAATCAAGTCACAACATATTTTTCATTTCCAAAATCATACATGAGACTTTTCATAAAAAAGATATAATCAAATTAAATGATTATTCCTTTATGCATGACATCCACAATCCTATTTTTTCATCGTCTTCTATAATCAACACTTGCAAAATATACAATTCGGGTGATTACTTAGTTGATCACATCCATCTTTTACTAACAAATAATTCCATAGGTTTATTGCATTCATAAATTTCTTCGCCAAGATTACCATTCATCTTCTCTCTTATTTTCTCAAAAGTACTATTTATGTCAGGAACTAGAGTTTTATAATCCAATCTTTCAACCATTAAAACTTGTAGCAAATACTTCAAATACTTCTAACTACTCATAATAAACTAGTTTGAAGCATTGGAATTACCTCTAGTAGATCAATCTTGAAAAATCATAACTTTTGGTGATTTTTGTATTCTTGAGGATTTGATGATGAAATCTAGTATTTGGATGTAAGAATGATGTTATAACTCATGTATATTAAGTAAGAATCAACCCAAAACATCATTAATAACTTACCTTAGTTGATTGGACTTGATTTGAGCTCAAAATCATCTCTTCACCTCAAGAAACCTAACCCCCAATACACAAAATACTCTCTTCCCCCGATTTTGTATTTATAGGCCCAGATTTCTGGGTTTCGGATGCGGCCCCGGATGCTTCGCATCCCCACTTCACTTCTCTTTGAAGCTATAATGCAGACTCGGATGCTATGGCAGTATTTCACTGTCAGCCTTCGGTAATTTGATCATAACTTCTTGTAAAAATGTCCAAATGATGAACGGTTTGAAGCGCTAGAAACTAAACTTGAATACCTTTCATTTGATAGGCTGTAATCCACATAACTCCTTATATAGATACGCTCATCCAAAGTTAAGTCATGTGCGTACTCATTTGGAACTTTAGTCTATCATGTAATTTTCAACTTGACTTGGACTTAGGGATATCCTTAGACCCCACATCACTTATAATATTCCTCTTACACTTATTATCATATTCAATTAATATTCATCATATTAATAGTCCTCATCTGCACACAAAATAATATAATTAGCACACATCAACTTTCTTAATAGCGCTTAAGTACTTTAAAAATTTTCGGGGTGCTACAGTAGAGGTCGAGGGGGTCGAGGCCGTGGAGGCTCCTCCAATCAAGGGTTCACCCAATCGTCTCAAAATCGTGGGTTTCAGAACTTTGCTCAGACCAATACTACTCCATCTCAAGCTTCAACCATGTATGAAATTATTTGCCACAATTGCGAAGGTAAATGTTATCTTGCACGCGTGTGTCCATCTCCTAGGATTAACACTGGCAACAAAGCTTACGGACCACCCGTTTCTAATTTAGCAAGAACCTCTTCTGCTCAAAATTGGTTAATGGATAGTGGCACCACACATCATCTCACAACTGATCTTAATAACATGGGTATTCATTCTAAATATCAAGGCCTTGAAGAAGTTACGTTAGGTAATGGTTCAAAACTTCCTATTTCCCATGTTGGTAAAAGTTAAGTTATTATTTATGATAAAAAGTTCACTCTTGACGATATCCTACATGTTCCAAATGCTAGTCAAAATTTATTATCTATTAGTTTGTTTACTAAGTCTAACAAAATTTCAATTGAATTCGTTCCTAACCATTTTTTGATTAAGGACTTGGCGACGAGGGAAATAAAGCATACAAGCCAGGATAAGGCTGGATTATATTCTCTTCCTCTGTTGAACTCATCCGCACTTGCTTCTTATGCTGCGTCCCTTGGAGTTTGGCATGCTCGTTTGGCTCATACATCCTATCATACAGTTCGTCAAGCATTATCGTCTAAAGTCATTGTCCCTTCATTTAAATCTTCTAGTTTATGTTCTACACGTGTTGTTAGTAAAAGTCATAAAATTCCCTTTCGTGAGTTTAGTTTTCAAGCCTCCGGGCCTTTAGACTTAGTTTGTTTAGATGTTTGGGGTCGTGCTCCAGTTGTTTCTAATGAAAGTTATAGGTATTATGTGATTTTCTTTGATCACTTCAACAAATATACATGAATTTATTTTCTTCGATTAAAATCAGAAGTCTTCTCCATTTTTATGCAATTTCGTAAAATTATTGAAAAATACTTTGGTAGTCCCATTAAAAGTTTTCAAGCAGATCGGAGAGGAGAGTATCAAGAACAAATTACTTGAGAGATAATGAAATTGTGCATCATTCCTCATTATCCTTACGGACAACTTATGCGGGCGCATACAATTATTTCTATATTTAAACAACAAAAAATTTCTTTGACTAATATTTTTCATTAAAAGAAGGAAAATAACTTTCTTCGCTCCATTTAAAATAATTTCTAAATTACAGAAAATGTTGAATAATGAAACATAATTCCTTTTCTAAACGATGTTCGCTTCCATACTTAACACACGTTATATTAAATTTGCACTCATTATTATAGAGGAGTAGTATTCTAAACCCATTGTCTTTTAATTCAAAATGTTTCTGTCGGTCTTTTGGGAGAATTTTGTGAGTAATAAATTAATTAAAATTCACTTAGTCAGCCATTAATTTTGGAGTTATCTTTTAGAAAGGACACGTTGAGCTTAGGATACCCCTTAGTTTTAGGTCATTCTTAATTAGTAGTAGTAACTCAATTCTAATGTAACAACACGTGTATTTCACTGAATTTGTTTGAACTTTGGTACACTAATATTCTCTTTCTGTGACATTGTTTTTGTTCTTTTCCATGTTGTTGGATGTGCTTAGATCTTCTCTGGCTTTATTATTGTCAGAGAATACTAAGTAGAGTACATCCTTTTCAAGAAATAGTTGTCAAGTAGCACTTTAGGGATAGGTCCACATTTTCTACAATTAGGCCAAACAATAGTGATATATTGGCTTCTATTATTTATCTACGAAAAAGGTTCAAATAGCCCCTGAATTATTGAAAATAGAGTAATTATACTCTCCGTTTGTATTTGGGTACAAAATTACCCTTGCCTGTTAATAAAGTGGTTCACTTTTGCCCCTTCCCACTAACAAACTCCACATCAAGGACAATTTTGTACCCAAATACAAACGGAGGGCATAATTGCTCTATTTTTAATAGTTTAGGGGCATATTTGACTCTTTTTTCATATAAAATAATACCTTTTTGCTGAGTTGAAAATTTATGTTGGAGAAAAAATCTTCTCTGTAAAAAAAAAGAAGGGAAATGAATGTCTTGCCATATCTTTTACATAGTAATTACTAAGATGACGAGAAATCTCACCGGAAAATCCCTCCGGCCAGCTGATCACAACCTCCTGCTTCACTTTTTTTACTTATTATTTTCTTACTGGATCAAATTCGTGTGATTTGATTTTTATATTCTTTGAACTCCTAAGTCCTAGCATGTAAGATAACCAAACAATACTCCATTAGAGGGACTCGAATTCAGATCTGCTCAAAAGATACAATGCCATTGTTCATCATTGATGTATTCGTAATAAATGACCTTTTACATTGTAATATCAATTCTTAATGCAAAATCTTATTATTAGAGTACAAAGTAATTAATGATGAATTTTTTTTTCTGTTTCGTCTTCCTATTTTAATTTGCAACCGCATATCGATACATCCATAAGTTACTATCACAAATTTCACTTTTACATTTCTCTAATGTGGGTATTTGGGTACAAAATAGTGCCCTCCTTTAAGTACCAAATACTAATTTTTTTTTTTAAGTGCTAGAGGTTAATTTAGTGAAGACGAAAATAAAAAGTTGATGTGTTTGATAAAATAATTATTTTTCTATTTAAAATGACTGAATAACATATAAACTAAAAATAGGCTTAATTACTGTCATATTTTTAATTTTAGATTAATTCAAATACCCCAAATTACTATGAGTATCGTTAAGTTATAAGCTGATTAGATAAACTTATTTTAACAAATGTAAATGATTTATTTAAATAACATAATTTAAATACGTGAAGGAAAGAAATTTAAATTTTTGCTAAATCATCACAAGCAAAAGCTAGACTTCCATTGGCTCCTCTACGAAAGAGCACAAAATTACTGTCTTTCTTTATTCCCTACGAGCAGAAGTATCACATAGAACGATAATGGAAGCAGAAAGAAAGAAATATGGAGTTAGGGTTTTTAATAAGGGAAGAGTCTAATTCTCTCTAGATGTGATTAATGTTGTAAATCTGCCACGCAATTAACCCTATACAACCCCAATGCTGGTGAGATTACTGGAAACCCTGCCCCTCTACAGATTTTTTTGTTTTGTTTTGTGTGTGTGTGTCTTCTTGAGATGGTATCTATATAGTGAATGCATCAATCAGTTTATTCAGTTGCAGATATTTAGAACAGTGAACACCAGTGTAAAGTCTTCATTTGTTGGGATGAAAGCAATTGGATGAATCACTACATTCTGGTTTGGGATTATGGTGTAGTTGATTGATTAATTCTTGTTCACACATTACAGTATTAGAGCTTCACAGTATTCTTGTTCACACATTGTAGCTTTCTTTTTTTCCAGAATATGCTTGATAATATTAGAAAATCTCAGGGCCTCCCAAGATATCATAGCAGATACCATACATTTGCACATTTCTTTAATAATAGTTCAGTCAGCTATGATTGCTAACATTTCATGATATCTTACTTGTTTGAGGTATGGAATAGAAAAATTTAAGTGGAGAATGTGTTTATGCAATGACAGCAAACTGTTACAAGGAAAATATCAGCCAAACTTGCTTGGGAAAAATAAGGGTATATTCACCTGTAAAAAAATAGAGAAGAGATATCCTATATTCACACCTTATATTAGTCGAATTATCATTGTAGAACCCACGAAAAAAAAGACATCAACTTGAGAAGTTAGCTCCTGCAAATGGCAAACCAGAAACCAGCTAATATTTTTGTAGAACACTAGGCAAATATTTGATCTTGAGAAGCTTGTTCATGCAAACGATGGATATGTATGTGCTAATAGAGAAACAGCAAAAGAAAACAATCAAAAAAGAAGAGCAGCAAAAGAAGACGAGTAGTACTCTGAGGCACGGCCTTGCTATTCATTTAAAGCTCCCCATACTGCTTGAGGTAAGAGCTCATCTAGTTTAGATTAAAGACGAGAATTCACAGGGAAATCAACCGTGTGTTCGGCCTTGTATCTCCCTTCTGCAGAAAAATCAAAACAGGTATAATTATGAAATCTGGAAACCAATTCATATATAAAGGTCGTGAGTGTCAGGTCCTGTTTCTTGGCGCCAAAAATGGGCAAATGGGTGCCAAGGCAGGCAGTTGGCATAAGCATGCTTCGCACGTTGAAGGAAAATGTTATCTTGAAGGCTTGTTGGCAATGTTTGATTTTATTCTGTTATATTTTTTCTTCATCTGCGCATTATAAAGCATGAGTGCTTTGTGCTTCAAGCCCCAATAAACTTGGGTGCTTTTCTATGTTTTTGCCTTTGACATTTCTTTCTATAATATGTTATCTTAGTTTCTGATTTATAGGCTGTTAGCTTTCAAGATTCGGACTCCTATCACGCAGCAGAATATTTTAGTTGTTCAAAGCAAATGATTGATTAGGCTACACACAGGTCGTGCCAATTCAGGTTCCTCTATTTCCTTGAAATCTATGAATTGTATCTGATACTTTCTTCACATATTTTGTTTTTTTATTAGTTCTTTCTAGACATAAAACTATAAGGTCATTATGTGTCTGTGTCATGCTATGCGCTATTGTAGAGATATTGTACTCCTTTTGCAAAGTATTAGTGGGTGTTTTCTTCTGACATGACCTGAATGTGGTAAGTTTTCAGTTAATTATATTCTTAGTGTTGCATTAGTTATGCAGAGATTATATTTTCTTATATGGCTAATCAAACATTGTACTGATGCGGCCTAGCTAGCAACACCATTGTGTTATTCTATGATGGATTTCATCCGAAAATTATTTTACTGATGTGGCCAATCAGATGATCCCTTAGGGTACCTGTAATAACTTTTGAGAGAGCGTTAAGTTGAGAATCATTTATTAGAACAGTTAACTACTTAATGTTACAGGGAAAAACAAACTAGACACAGTCACAATAATTATCTTGCACATGTAAAAGAGTTGTGTCGTAGCACTAGATAATTCAACAGATATCTAATCAAGTTACTAAAATTCAAGCTTCCACTTCCATTAGATGCGGCTTCCATTCATTCTAGTTCTGATATTTCACTCCACTCTTCTCTAGAAGGGCATTCCGTCAGTCCAGCTCCTACGTGGGTGGTGTATCTTGCTGTAAAAGGCGGAGGGATAGTTAGATTGCTCCCATCTCCTTCTACCATTTGAGTAACAACTTTGATGGAAGGTCGATCCGTTGCATTCCATTGGATGCACCAAAGTCCTATAATGGCCAATTTCCTTACAATTATGATATCATCATCTTCCTCAATCCTGATTTTTAACACCTCACCTTGATTCAGCTGTTGATGAATCCACTCGGGAAAGTTCATTTGGCTAGTATTGGCTTTTGCATCAAAATTCTTCCTCCCTCCAACCATTTCAAATAGCATCATTCCAAAGCTATAGACATCAGATTTATGAGACGCTTTTCCAAAATTGCTGGATAATACTTCTGGTGCAATATAACCCATGGTTCCTCTAGCTTCAGTCATGGTTACAACACTTTTCTCTTTAGAGCATAACTTGGCAAGACCAAAATCAGAGATCTTTGGGTTCAAGTTACGATCTAACAGAATATTTTGGGGTTTGATATCGAAATGAAGGATTTGTTGGTCACATCCTTGATGAAGATACTCCAGTCCTTTCGCTATACCCATAGCAATATTTTGAAGCTTCTTCCAATTAAGGATAATGTGATCTTTGGAACTTGCTGGAAAAATGAGTTTTTCAAGCGTCTGATTTGGCAAATATTCATACACGAGAGCGTTTCTGAATCCATCAGCACAATAGCCAACTAGGCGAACCACATTGAAGTGGTGGATTTTTCCCATTGCTGCAACTTCATTAATAAATTCTTCCCCATTTCCTATGGAGTCATTTAGCACTTTGACAGCAACATGAATTTCATTAGAAAGTGTTCCTTTATAAACAACCCCGTAAGCTCCCTCTCCCAATCTTTCCTGAAACAGATTTGTTACCTTCTTAAGATCTGCGTAAGTATATCTAGTAGGCCTGAGAGCTCTGTAGTCTTCCAGAAACTTTTCAACTCTCGCTTGATTCTCTCTTTCTATTTTGCTTGAGCTATAAAACTCATAGAGTGCCAACATAATAATTCCCAAAAGAATAAGACCTAGAACTCCACCTGGAATATTTCATCTCCCACATCATACAGAAGGCAACTAAAAATGTGTAAAGGAGAAAAGAATTATACGAAAATGCATAGAGTACATACCTGCAATCAGTGGTTTCTTTAATGTACCAGCTGTCAGAATCAAATTAAATTTTTTGTTATAGCAAAGAGAAGTGCATAATAGTTTTGTCAAGATAGTAAACATTGATGCATCCAAAATATTGTTTTCCTGTGCTTACACAAAGATAGTTTGGTTTGAGGCTGAACATGTATTAGGCTGAATTTCAAAACTGTGACCTTCATATTCAGGAATCGGAGTTACTGCACTCCAATCAAGCTTGATGTGATTTTGATTTCAAATATTTAATTGGATTTGGGGACTTGGCTTAGGCTAGTCTAAATGGGTTCATGCTCTCTTCTATTTCGTGTCTGTTGTTTGTTTTTTAAAGTCATGTAAGTGAATCCTGTTTCAAGCTGGCTTATAGTTTTCCAGTGCAGTCTATCCTGTATATCTTGCTGTTCTGTTCAAAATACTTTTCATTAATCTTAATAGTATCATGTAAGCGTATTTGCAGTTTCTTATTGGCAGGAGAAGATAGACCGGAATAGAAAGTAAGCAGGGATTGGAGGTGTTTTATTTATGGACATATACGTTCTCTTTTGTAATTAATTATGCAATCAAAATACAACTTTGAAAAGAGTTAATACCTTTTGTAGTGTATGGTCGGTCGAGACACTGAGTTCTCAGTTGCTTGGTATAGTTCTTGAAGCCACAATCCTTACCAAGACCTTCACAGTATCTACACTCCGGATTTGACCAACGGAGTTGAAGGTAATTGTAAACTATTTCATAGGGAACTGATGGAATTTCGAGAATCTTTTTGCAAGTTGTAGGGGGGAGATAATACAAATAACTTGAGGAGTCGATAGCAAATATTGCTTTGTCAGAGGCACAAGGTTGTTGGGTCTGATAATCTGCTGTGATACCAGAACATTTGAAAACTGAATAGTCAGCTAACCTAAGATAGGGTTCAACAGTGAAAAAGAAAGGAGATGTTGATAAATTAAGGTGGACTAGCGTAAGAATAAGACAACGTTCAGGATCATAAAGGCGAATCTGCTGAGACATATAATCAATTATTTCAACAGATAGTCTAACTGAATTGGAAAGGGTGAGTATAGTTTTGTTTTTGCTGTCACAAAATAACTCGAAGCCAGGATAGCCACAATATTCGGGCTGATGTTGAAGCCTGAAGGGAAAATGAAGGCTAGGGCCATCACTTCCACACCTGGACTCTTTGCAATCATATGCTCCTTTACCGGCCATAGCAAAAAATACTATGTTGATGAGAAGTAAGTGCAAGAGGGAAAAGATGGTCATCTCAACTGGAAGACCTTAAAAATGAAGCTTGCAGTTGTGCCAGTGGCAAATACAGAACTTCGACAAGTCTTGCATTAATCTGTTTAAAGGTATCCTGCTTTCATGCAGGGGTCCAGGGAAGGTCCGCACCCCAAGGATGTGATGTAGACAGCCTACCCTAATACAAGTATTAGTCTGTTTGCAGTACTAAATAATAAAAATTTATCTCCATCCATGGATGACTGGAATACAAAGAAATTTGTTACTACAAGACTTGGATCCTTATGTAGAATAGATGACTTTGCTTGTTGGACTAAAAGTCAATATTGATGTCTCTTTCTTTAGTTGACTATGGGCTAAATAATTTTATTGCTTGATCTGTCTACACTCTACATTATCAAGAAAAGTCTTGCACCCATAATTTGACTTGTTAGAGTGAGATGTAATGACTCTCTTTCTTTGTGAAGACTTGGACTTTTGTTTTATTTAATGACTTAATTTTCTAGAGTCTACAGTATTAAGATAAGTCTTGCATCATTATTTGACTTATTAGAATGAGAACATATTGACTTCTCTTTCTTTGTGAAGACTCGGGACTTTTAGGATTTAATGACTTCGTTTTACTTTCTTTTGCAACAGCATAATTGGTTTCCTGTGGGCCAAGAAAAGGAGAGGGATGAAAAATTGATCTTCTTGACTACTACTTGCAGTGTTTGTCACCGGTGCCGAAAAGGGAAATACCCAAAAACAAACACACACAAAAGAAATGTCTGGAGGAACCATGTTTCTTTCAGTTCTTACAATTCTCATCTTCTTGCAGCTCTCTGACACCCCATTTGCTGAACAGAATCAGCGGTGTGCACCTTCTAGTTGTGGGCATATTAAGAACATCAGCTACCCCTTTCGATTGAAAAATGATCCAAAGCATTGTGGCGACGAAAAGTATGAATTGAGCTGTGAAGGGAATCGCCCCATATTCACGATATTTATAGAAAATTGGAATGGGTCTCTGAACTACTATGTGCAAGCCATCAATTATGATAACTCCACTATCCGCCTTGTAGATCCTGGTATAAGAGAACAAGTTCTTTGCTCTCTTCCCCAGCATTCAATTACATTTTTCACTCTCCCTTTTCAATTTGGTTTTACTAAACCTGATGGTTCTTATGCTCCTTTAGCTGTGCCAATCACTATTTTCAGCTGTCCATTTGCCATGAATTCTCCCGCCTTTGTGGAAATCACTAATTGTCTCAACAGGAGTGATGCTTCCAGTTTTTCTTCCAAGGGACACACGTATGCAGCTATGGGCAAACTATCACCATCTAATTTGAGAGTGGGGTGTACTGTAAACCTCATGTCAATGACTTCATGGACTATTGATGATGCAATGTTTATATTTCAATCTTAGAGCTGCATAATGCTTTGGCATATGGGTTTGAACTTTCATGGTTTCGTGACATTTACTGTAACAAGTGCGGCCATGATTATGGTTGCGAAGGTGAAAATTCAAGGGATGTTCGCTGTGTGGATTACACCTGCAAGGTTTACAATTTTAGATTCTTCAAAACCTTATGTGGTAAGAATATTCCTGATGTCTTGCCAGAACTTAAGACACTTTTAGCATTTTTCTATGTAATCTGTAAATCTCTCTCATTCATTTTCTCACCCTCTCTCTATTTTTTTTTTTTGGTTTTTTTTGGATATGCTCTTTGAACAAACACAATCAAGTTACTCAAAGACACGTTCTCCGCGTTCTTGCAAGTAAGCATTCGTTCTATTGTCAATTCTGGTTTTATACATGCTAGGATAAATAAACGGTAAATAGTTGCAAGTGAGATTAACCGTGTTAGTAATTGTTGATGTTCTTGCAGGCATCATCCCATGGATGCTTCCCATATTTGGTAAGCCATATTTGTTGTCTTCCCATATTGTCCAATTTTTTGTGTCATACTTTCCTTTTTAGTCTATCCCCAGAATTATGTCATCCTTATTTAGAAACAATTTAACTTTAAACTTCTCATCCTCTCTTTATAAGATGATTTAAAAGCCACACAAAAGTCTATGGTTTTACCCCACAAATTCAATAGTCTTTCTTTCTCACCTAAACATCGTCCGCAAGTCAAACACCGCCACACAAAAGTCTTACTTTATGATGGTTGCACACAGGGCTTAGCATTGTGGCAAGAATCATACTATTCCCATGCATATTTGTGTTTCTAATGATTGAATTACGAAGAAGGCATATGTCGATCTTTGATGCAATTGAAAGTTTCCTGCATAGTAGAAACAATTTCATGCCCATTCGATACCCCTATTCCAACATAAGGAAGATGACTAGGAATTTCAAAGAGAAACTAGGCCAAGGAGGTTATGGTTCAGTATATAAAGGCAAACTTCAAAGTGGTCCTAATGTTGCAGTGAAGATCTTGACCAAGCCCAAAGCTGATGGGCAAGACTTCATCAATGAGGTTGCCACAATCGGGAGGATTCATCATGTTAACGTGGTACAACTTATTGGCTATTGTGCTGAGAGATCTAAACGTGCCCTCGTATATGACTTCATGCCTAATGGATCACTTGACAAATACATCACATCCCGAGAAGGAGGAACTCTACTGAGCTGGCAAAGAAAGTCTGAAATCGCTCTTGGAGTTGCTCGAGGTATTGAATATTTGCATCGAGGTTGTGACATACAAATTCTACATTTTGACATCAAGCCGCATAACATACTCTTGGATGAGAATTTCGTTCCAAAAATTTCTGACTTTGGTCTGGCCAAATTATATCCAACTGATAACAGCATCGTTACTCTAACAGCAGCAAGGGGAACAATCGGATATGTAGCTCCAGAACTGATCAACAGAAGCATTGGTCCGNGAAGCATTGGTCCTATATCTTATAAGGCAGATGTTTATAGCTTTGGAATGTTACTGATTGAGATAGCAGGTATGAAAGGAAACTCGGCAGCAAGAGAGGATATGTCAAGCCAGTATTTCCCATATTGGATATATGATCAATTCGACAAGGAAAAGGAAATTGAAGTACTAGACGAGACACATGATGGTGAAAAGAAGATTATAAAGAAGTTGACTTTAGTTGCTTTGTGGTGCATACAAATGATTCCGCTTGATCGTCCCTCAATGACTAAAGTAGTGGAAATGCTTGAAGGTGAATTACAGACTTTGCAAACGCCTCCTAGGCCTTCTGAATCACTGCAGCCATCTTCGTTGGAATTCAATCTGAGTTCTTCAATAGGTTCAACTGAGTCTATGATGTTGCTCGGGAATTGTTCTGATTCTGCACAAGTAGATGTAATTATTGGTTGACATATGAGTATACCAGAAATTGTAACATTCACATTATGTAATACTCGTGCACTCCCTTTCTGTAACTTTTTTTTTTTTTTTTTTTTTTTATATAAATATTAATTAAAAAGGTTTATTAGACTTTCTCAAAGCACATGCTACTATGGGATTGTTCCTCCAGAATAACGTTCAACTCTTGGTCACAGACATAAACATTAAAAATGCCAACGACACTATTTTTTGATTAGGAAAAGGTAGAATTTAAACATCAATGACATTATCATCATCAATCCTACACCCCAATTTGGATCCACAAAAACCCTTGCCTCCGACCAGCAGACAAATGAGAACAACTCCCCTTGCTTCTTTTTTTGCTCCATTTATGCGTGGCACTACTTTATTCGTTCAATTTCAGGAATCAGCCAGTAGAAATGACCGGCTGCTGATTCCCCATAGCTTCATTGCACAAAGCATCATGTATTCACATAGCGTACACCCCTAGAGTGTGATATAGATAGCAACGAAAAGAAAATACATAACTTTTTGTAAAAAGAATCACACATCTTTAAGGCAAAGATAAAATTGCTTCTGCCTTTGGAAACCAATGTTGGCATAGTCTTTATATCGAACAGGTAGAGTGCATTTCATGGAATGCCTTTTACTCTAAATTATACTACCCGTCCATCTCCCAAACAATTGAGACATCGCTGTACCTTGTGATCATCGCAAGTAGGACAAACACATGGATTTATAAACACAGGATCATACAGTGGAGACCACCTTATTGTCCTTTCTGTAACTTTCTATTTTTATGATATATGTCTTTTTTTGGTATCTCTGGACATGGTTTTGGGAAATTAGAATGTAACAGCTTATAGTTTAGGTAAAAAATGTGAGTTTTACTATGGTCAATTGTCCATTCTGCATAGATTCATTCTCGTATTATGCTTTAGATGGTAATGTTTTAATTGCTTTGCAAAGAAAGCTACAGTATTTATTAAGGACAAGAGTGCAAGTTATTAGTTACTGCCGATGCATAGAACTTAATATCATATATTAATGCTTTTCTTTTTCCGGCTATTATCAAACCTCTCTATAAGGGGTTTAAAAACAAGTTATGTTCGTGATTAATTATCCTGATATTATTTTTATTAACTGTTTGATATGCTGTATTAATTCTGGAATTGTCAATTTTACTGCTTTATCCTGGGATAGCTTATCCTTGTGGTCCGGCCCTTTCCTGAATCCCGTGCATAGCGAAAGCTTAGTGCATCAGACTGCCCTTTATCCTGAGTTTACTATTCCATCCCCTGACAGGTATAACTTTTTCAGATACTATTTTTATTCATGTGATAGTAACCAAACAAGGGATAAAGCGGTACTAAATTTTTATCCCAAGATTATTTTTGCTTATCCATCATACCAAATAATTTTTAATAGTTTTATTTGTTTCGATATTATTTTTGGCTTCTATAGAGGTTGGCTATTANTGAAGAAAACCATCTTTTAAGACAGGAAAATTGTCCAAAAGTAGAGTGGAAATGACACCTAGCAATTACCATAACAAGGGTTATAACAAGAGGGGGTGTCATAAAGCTGCTAGAAGCAATACTGCCTCCTTTTAATTGGTTGATGTAGGATGTTGGTATTAACAGTGATGCAAGAATACAATATAACATGCCAAGGATGGTTAGGATGAGAGTTTTACACACCCAAGTGGCTTCAAAATTCAAAATGTAAGTTCTAACACTACCTCTCATATTTAGGTGAATTCATTCTCTGATTTTCTGTTGGATTTTGGCAGCCAGAAATGTCATCTACAAACTTTAAGAATGCGAGGTCTTCATTAGAAGTAACTGGAGATCTAGGCCATCAACCAACAAGAGGTGTTAAATGGAAAGGCCAAGAAGCTATGACATCAAAGTAGCTTCAACAATTGAGAGGCAAGAAACTCATTCAAACAAAGGCTAAGGCTGCTAAGTTGAGCCAGGAAAGCACCACTGCAAAACCACCCAATTGATCAAGATACTATTTTGTGGATGAATATACTACAATAGATTGCATTATGATAAAATATTAGGCAGCTATAGACTGCATTTCTCATTTTGTTATCTTATGGTGTCTGTTTTGCTGCTTCTACAATGAGAACAAATAGATATTTTGTTATCTCATTTTGTGACTATTTAGTAGGCATGTTTCTTTTAGGTCAATGAGAGCAAATATGTGTTTTTATACAGTTTATGCGGCTGCCGTATTAAGTCTCTTGTGTGTCTATTGTTGTGATTAAATACTAAAAATAGATGTATGAAGATACACACTTGATTGATTGCCAAGTTCCGGGCATACAAAGAAACAACAAGAACACACCTACAACACTTCAAAATGTAAAAACATCACTTCATTAGAAATAACACTTCGTTACATTCCGTTGAAAGGTTCCATTCAAATGAAAGATCCATTACAAACATACAAAATGATACCTACAGGCAACAACTATATACATATTGAGATGCCAAAATTAGATTTAAAATGGCGACCTCATTGCATCTTCTTTCAATGACATTCCTGGATACCTACAAGCAACAAGTATAATACACATCCCCAATATAATGAACCAAAGTATATTTTCCCTAGCCTTGGACCTAGCCAATTTGCTCTTCCACTTATTTTCCTTCTCTGTCATCTTTCGGCTATTATCAAACCTCTCTATAAGGGGTCGTTTGGTTTGAAAATAAGTTATGTAGGGATTAGTTATGCTGTGATCAATTATGCTGGGATTAATTATCATGATATTATTTTTTATTAACTATTTGATATGATGTATTAATCCTGGAATTGTCAATTTTACTGCTTTATCCTGGGATAACTTATCCTTGTGGTCCGGCCCTTCCCTGGATCCCGTGCATAGCGGGAGCTTAATGCATTAGACTGCCCTTTATCCTGGGTTTACTATTCCATCCCCTGGCAGGTATAACTTTTTTAGATACTATTTTTAATCATGTGATAGTAACCAAACAAGGGATAAAACAGTACTAAATTTTTATCCCAAGATTATTTTTGCTTATCCTTCATACCAAATAATTTTTAATAGCTTTATTTGTTCCGATATTATTTTTGGCTTCTATAGAGGTTGGCTTTTATACACTTATAACAAATTTGACATTTAAATATTATTTGTCTATTAAAACCATAATTATCCCAAACAAATGAAGAAAATCATATTTTAATGTTACGAAAGATAAGAAAATTATTTAAATTTAAATTCTCAAAAGGTATGCATATTCTACAAAGTAAAAATTGAAAAAAGCTAATAAAGATTTAAACTCTAAGGTACACATTACAGCTATTTGAAAGTTAAATTCTTTCAAGATTGATGTAAGAAATATGTAATTGTAGCTTGTTTGGTAGATTCCAATCTTTTAGTGGTGATGTAACGCTTGAATTCGCGAACATTTGCATCCAAATTTTCAATAAAAGGGTATCCGACCTATTATTGTTAGTCTAGAGATTCTATTTCTATAAAGATGATTGTTATAGAAGGGTAATTTTATAAAGATAATACTGTTATAAAGATAGATGTTGTTGTTGTAGGTAAAATTTTTTTTATTATAAAGAGGTAAAATATAATATTAAAAAATTAATTCCGAAAAAAAAGAGCTTTACAATGAAATGATGTTATACATGATAGCTGTTATAGATAAAAGAGGACTTTATTAAGGAGTTCAAGAAATATACAAGTAGCTAGACAATTCTCTTTACGTTTTCTTTATTTTATTTCATTCTTTCCTAGCTATTAAAGAGTTCAAGAATGATGTGTGACTGCATAGAATAAGTAAAAAGAAAGGTTTATTACTAGCAGTCTAAAATTGACAAAGAAAACGATAACGAATTTTCAATTTCCGTGTTGAATATTCTGATAACTAGTAAAAATTGGCCCGGGCGCAAGTGATGAGTTGCATATTGTGAACTTTTAGCAGGGGTACCGATTATATGTGAATATTGTGAAATTCTTTAGCTGGTGTTTGTTTCAATTTACCTTTATTTTAAATTGCTAATCTAAATAAGACATTATAAATAACTTTTATGATTTCAATTTGTTATTCTTTTGATACCAATTTTTTTTCTAAGAGTTGAAAATGTGAATGGTACATTCTTATACATTCTCATTTTTAGTGTATTTTGACAATTTGTTTTTCCCCCGATGGCTTTATTTCTCTCATTGTAAAAAAAATGTATTATTTTTGGTAATTGAAAGTCTTCTTTTTAAAGTGTTTTTTGCCATAACTTTGTGCAAATGTGATACAACTATAGTTTACATAATATCATAGTTTTTGAGTGTTGCCTATGCCAATTTTCCTTCTTCTTCCTTTTTCTTGGGAATTTGGCAAACATTTTATGTTAGCAGCCCAACATACGAATAACCATCAATCACTGCGATTGTCCTCATATTCTAATCAATTATCGAGAACTTGTTTTTTTATTTTTAAATTACTTTCTCTGTTTGTAAAGCTTTGAAAAAGTACTACAATATTTTTAATAAGTAGGAAAATCTCATTCCATGTGTTTCATTCTAATAAATGCATAAAACATAAATATATTCATTTTTTTCTAAATCCTTACACTTGTTTCAAACATGAATAAATCTCTTTTACGCATTTTAGTTAATGTTCAAGAATCGCAAAATATTGGACAATTGAAGAGAAATTGTTAATTTTTTCAATATCACAACAAAAAGAAAAATGAGCAGTAAATGTGATGGTTTCAACATGTAAACCAACTAACAGAGAGTGCCTAATGATGTTAGCTATTTGAACGATGTGTTCAACTACAATTCAATTAAATCAACTACAACAATACTTCTAAATCCATATCCGATACTTTGCTATAATTGGCACTTGATTTTATTTATTCTTCACCCCAATGTGTTTTTATTGCATTTGGAAAGCAATTATTCCCACCAAATTGAAATTTTATTCATGACCTTGCTAAGTGCAGAAATATAATTTTGTATTTTCTATTTTGTTTTGTATTTTTACTATAAAAAGCACTTCTGAAAATTTAGAAAGTTTTCATTAGATTTTAAAATGTAAAAGTTTGATAGGTTTTTTCTTC